CATACTCCTTACTCTTATACAGCTTGTGTCATACCCTACAACAAAGTTTACGAAGACGAGCGTCGGCTACCGTGTACTAACCACAAACTTAAAATTTTGGGATGGAAAGGATTGTATCTTCTGCGAAATAAGATAATTCCCGCATCCTTCCTGAACTTTGCTCCGTGAACTCAGCCTACTTCATTTCAATTCATAGACGATCAAGCTCAAACCCCAGAAGGGGAAGAGTTTCCCCGTATCACTAATCGCCTAGTATTCTTCAAAAATAGCAAGTGCTCTGTTCTAATGAGGAATTCAAATAAATTCAGAAAGTGTCACCTCCAAAATAATGAAGAGTGTTGTTGAAACTCCAGCTTTCCGAAACAGCTCGAAAATTGTTCTTTTCCTTTCATTGGCTGAAATAAGAAAGTGATAAGACTGGATACATTCTGTGTTCCTCTCAAAACACCAGAAATATTCGAATCTTTGCTACTTAGTCAAGATGATCACCTTTCTGTATTGCCACAAATATCCAAGGGATCGCTCCATAGTAGGACAAGGCTAATACTAAACCAATTCTATCGCTTGCAGCTGATCGCTTCTCGTTCGTGAGGGCGAAAAAAGCTGCACCTATGAGGCATGCCATAAGTAGAGCTATCATCGGTTCACAGAACGATTTGGCCGGGTTATTGGTCAACTCGTACCAATTTCGCCTGCAAAGAATGTAAAATACTTCTTCCGAATTTCTAGGGCTTCAACACAACAACAAAATAAATGCAACGACAGGTAGACCTTACCTACACAAAGCCTCTATGGTGTCAATAACGGAAGGTCTACAGAGCATCGGAGAGATAGTCGATTTGGTCACCTCCAATGGAGTGGAGTTCAACGGCTTCCAACACCGTATAAGTTTGTCGATTCGAGAGGAGGACTCGGCGGAGGCTTCTGGTGACTGATGGTCGTGTGTAGCGAGGTCAACTGAGAGTTATGAATTCCATTGTCATACTCGAATATCATCATATTCTTCCCTATCATCGACTTTTACTAGTGGTTTTCGAGAAAAATGCTTTTAAAAGCAAGGAAAGCTCCCTCGAACGCTCTGTCGAAGGTTCATTTCTTGAAGATTGGATGTATAACTCACCGTAGAAATCGCAAGGATTCTTGAACTTCGGGCACGGAAAACCAATTGAAGTGAAGTACCGAGTCATTTTGCTGGGGCAACCGAAATACACCAGTTGTCCAGAAGTTAGCAGAGCGCCTGAAAATATTCTTCTTGATTTTTCAACGCCGATATCCGATATGGATAGCTGAACAAACTCGTACAATGGGAAAACATCAAGAGAATTTCGAAAGATGGAGGAGCAATCGCCAGGATGACTATTCTGTTAAGTTTAGTTGCCCAGTCGCGTAAGTAGTCAATGACGAAAGCCGTCTCACAAACGTCCATGTATTTGGCTATGTTGTCACAGATGAGAATATCTGAAAAGTTCGTGTAAAGGACCTCCCTGGTAGGAATCTTGTCATGGAACTGTCCGCTTCGGAATGAAAAGGTATTTATAATGTTTTATAGCGTTACCGATCTTTTCTCAAGTAAGAAACCCTCCTTTAAGATACGAGTTTTTACATTTTCCCTTTTTTTCTTTTCCAATTTCACCACTGTTTTTACCGTCTTTTTTCATAAAAAACCAAAAAAATTAACTTGTTTTGTGACTCTTCTACCTTGGCACTGATATAGTTCGAACTCAGCCATTTTACAACCAAAGCCTTATAAAAGATGAAAGGATAAAGCTTTGAAGGTTGATCAATCCCGTGTGAGGGATGCGCCGTGCATGGGAAGTCCATTCAGAACCGTAGGGGCATATTTAATGCGTGGGCCTACACAATGATTTACGGTGACCAGCCCATGTACAAGTCAGTGCTTTCGATCTCCCTTACGAGTTTGGTACCAACTAGCCGACCCGGAGATAAGGAGGGATTGCTTGGCCCAGGTGGAATCGGCCCGGTACAGAACCGTGAACATACAGATGATTACCATTTCACCATCTGAAAAGTGACTCGTGTCTTCTCTTCCACACTTACCTGT